TTATTGTGAGTCACTGGACCGTCAGGTGATGAGATTGATCGAACTGTAATAAATTTTGAGTAACTTGATAATCTGCTGATTTCTTTGTTCTTGAATTTTCTGCTCGACATTGTGTCCAGCTACGTCGCAAGAACAAGCCAGACTAGTTTAGCATTCTGAGTATGACAGAAGAAACACAAGAAAAGTTAGTAGATCGAAATTTTAATGGAAATTATGAAACAAGAGGAGCACCCCACCCACAGGAGGAAATTGACGACCATAACGATGTCTTTATTTCCTATATGGAAAATAAATTGGAGGAAAAGTTAGGTGAATCGCTGTCAAGAGTATTAGATAAGAGCTTGCAACAATGGACGACGAAAATGAATGGGGTAAATGCGATTGAAACAAACTTTCCGAAAAAGATATTTAAGAGGTCACGAGACCAATATGAGTATGATGCAGTGTGTGATACCGGTACCTTGCTTCAAAAAGCAATCCAGGAGGACTCAAAGGAAAAAGTAGCAGAAGTACAAGAACGTTTGAGGCTGAGGGCATTTATTTTAAGGGTGGCGGAGGAAGAAGGTTGGAACATTGCAGTGAAAATTCCAAAACCAACACCTGAAGGTGATGAATTTAGAAATTTGTTGGTTGAGGCGAGAAAACAAGCAAAACAAAAGGAAGGGTATTTCGCATCATATAATCTAAAGACTTGGCAAACTAAGGGACGAAAATTTTGGAGTTGGGGTTCAAGGGCAAATTATTATACACCTTACCCTCCACCCCACTCATATACTCAGCATACACCATCACCGCAGACTTATCAGAACCAAAGTGTGTTCTCAAATCCGGGCCCAACCTATCAAAACTTATTCAGCAAAGCATCAAATAAGCAGTTTACCTGCTACTATTGTGGGGGTGCGGGTCATACAGCGGCAGTTTGCGCTTCAAGATCTGCAGAAAGTAGAGGAAATGGGTTTTTTTGGAGCAAAGGCAATAGCGAAAACAGGTGACTACACTCGGGAGAAAGAAATCAAGGGGAAAAACAAGGAGCTAGAAGTAATGAACAATATAGAACACAGCAGAGAAGTCATTGGAAAGATTCACGAACCAGCGGCGATAAGATAATGGATGGAAAAAATAAACCCACCACCCGTAGTAGCTTGTTGGTTGAGAAACAAGATACCTCTATTCCCAAGAAACGTATAGAGTCTTGCAGAGAGCAGAGTCCCGAAGCCCTACAAAATGACAATGGACCAGGAAGACTGGTTTGAGAAGGAAATTTCTCGGTTAGTGAAAGTAGGTGCAATAGAGAAAGTGGGTTCGACGAGCTTCTGCCCGCCTTCTCTGTTAGAAGTGTCTCCGGTTTTCTTGGTGCCGAAACCAGGACCAAAACGTTTCCACCTGGTAATAGATTTGAGAAGGCTAAACAAACAGTTGCCGGAAAAATCTTTTCGGTTCGAGGGTCTAGGCGGCCTACTAAGGTCAATAGGCAAAAATTGGTCTATGATTACATTAGATTTAAGGAACGGCTACTATCACGTGATGATGGACAAAGAAGCTCGGCGCTTTCTGGGGTTCCAAGCAGGAAGAACCTGGTATCAGTACCGAGTATTGCTGTTCGGCCTTTCACAGGCTGTCTGGATTTTTTTGAAAATAATGCGAGCACTGATTGCTCACTGGAGAATGAAAGGCATAGCCTCGGGTTCGCATGTGGACGACATATGGATAGCACATCCTTCGGCAGTAATATTAGAGAAAATCCGGGACGAGATCATTTTACCAGACCTAAAAAATTGTGGCTTCGTCTTGGCCTGGGACAAGAGCAGCCCGATGCCATCAAAAAGGATAAAGTTCTATGGACTACTCGTGGACACGGAGAAAGCGCAAGTGATTGTACCAGAGTCAAAGTTGAAAGAGACAAAGGAGTGCTTGAGAGCATTAGTGAATGTAAATTGGGTAATAGCCAGGCAGCTGGCAAGAGTTACAGGAAAGATCCAAAGCCTTGCGAGAGCCTTCGCCCCAACACAGGTAAAATGCTTGGAATTTTATTCCCTTATAGACACGGCGAACAGGCAGCTCTGGGAATGGAACGAAAAAATTTGGTTGTCAGATCAGGCAAGAGCAGATCTGCGTTGGTTATTGAAAAATCTGGAAAGGTACAATGGCCGACCGGCCTGGAGACCATCTTTAATAAGAAGTCTGTTCGTAGATGCCTCTACGACTGGCTGGTGTGCAAAACTAGAAGGGTTAACAGCATTTGGAAATTGGATAGAAAAGTCAAATTGTCGGGAAATCGTGAAATTAGAAGCAGAATCAGTTCTATTAGGGCTCGAAAGTTTCTCAAACCTACTGAAGGGGTTCTGGGTTTTAATATTTATAGACAACCATACAGCCCTAGCAACAATGAGATTAGGAGGCAAAAATTGGTGGCAAAAGGAAGCCTACAGAAGGTTATGGCAAATTTGTTTAGAAAAAGACATTTGGGTTTACGAGTTGAGATGGGTGGCATCAGAGGAGAATCTAGCAGATTTTTGGACCCGAGCCTTCGATTCATCAGATTGGTACGTCAAAGAAGAAGTGTTTCAAGAGATAGAGATGAATTTCGGACTGCACTCAATCAATCGAATGGCATCCCACGTAAATACAAAATTATCAAGATTCAACAGCTACCATTTTTGTCCAGGGACGGAGGCCATAAATTGCTTCACCCAAAGGTGGGAAAACGATATAAATTACGTGTGCCTGCCCCTGCATCTAGTGCAGAAAGTACTCTACCATGTCAGGAGTTGCAAAGCAAGGACGACAGTAGTGATTCCAGAATGGCCGTCAGCCAAGTGGTGGCCTCTACTTCTGGAGTTAAACTGGGAGGCATTACCTCTACCAGAACCAGGAGTTACATTCGTGCTGGGCCCGTCAGATTTTGTAGAACCTTGGAGAAACCCGAAGTGGAAATTCTTGGCGGTGCACATTTGGCCATGAAGAAGTTGGCCCAAAAAGCAAAAGCACTAGCGAAGAGATCTGTATCTCCATTTTACAAGGCCGCGTCTGAAAAATACTGGGCCCTCTATGAGAAATTCTGTAAAAGGTTTGGTTTGGACGTGGAAAATCCACAAGAAAATGGTATCCTTGCATTTATTATGTGGGTGGATATAATGGGGTTGACATGTCAAACCTCCTGAATCCTCTAGATGGTCATAAATAACCTACACTTTAAAGGAAAGGAAGATCTTGAAAAATCATTAGCAGTAACGCAGGTTTTAAGGGCAATAAAAAAGGAAGTTTCAAAAAATAAGACACCAGAGTGGCCACGTGACCCGCTACCAGTCGCAGCATTAAGGCATTACGTGGATGTACCACCACCCTGTGCAAATAGATCGATGTATAGGAGAGATATTGCGCTAGTAGCGTTGGGACTAAGAACAATGCGAAGGCTGGGAGAATTGGGAGAATTAACAATGAAAGATATAAAGTGAGATAATGAAGGAACCCTGTGGGTTCGGATCTGCAAATCGAAGACCGATCAGTTCAGAAATGTCAAGTTTATTCCAGTAGAAAACACAGGATCAAGATATTGCCCGATTAGACTTTTAAAGCAATATTTGGAAATTCGACTAGTAACAAGCCTGGAAGCACCTCTGTTTCTATCAAGACAGGGAAAGAAAGTCTCGGTGTTAGCGATTGGATTAATAGTGAAACGGTTCGCTGAGCATGCGGACCTAAGTGGCAGATTCATAGCCCATTCATTAAGAATCAGTGGCGCAACTACCGCAATGACAGCAGGGATAAGCCTCACGCAAATTCGGGCGATTGGAGGCTGGGATTCAAAGGCAGTAATGCTGTATCTAAGAACGGTATCAATAGCAAAGATGGGAACTTCCAGCCGCATGGGGTTTTAAAAAAAAAAAAAAAAAAAAAAAAAAAAAAAAAAAAAAAAAAAACCTTGTAATAAAACAAGAAAAAAAAAAAAAAAAAAAAAAAAAAAAAAGGGGGAAAAAAAAAAAAAAAAAAAAAAAAAAAAAAAAAAAAAAAAAAAAATTAGAATAAAAGTCTTTGTGGAATAGTTCTAAGTTAGAAGATA